AACAGCACACAACAAATGCCACGTCTGATTGGCGCTGCTGGCCTTGTCCCAATGTTGTACAGGACTGAACTTGGTCTTTGTAATCGATATGCGGTTCCAAGCGTTCATTAACTACGACCTGTCAACTAGCAAGGTGTAGACGTGCGTGATCTTGCTGCTCGTGAGTTTTGCATGCTTTCCGATGGAAAGTCTGCTGTCTGTCAAGCCATTTCGATCATTGAACGAAGATGCTGATGCAGACGCCAGCACTATCTCTCTTCATCATACAAGAAAGCAAAATACATTCTATCAACATGAGGATACTTTTGGAGCTCTCGCCTGGCATGATCCGCTTCAAGATCGGGTCCCGAAAGTGTACGGACCAAGGTCCAATTTAGGAGGGGGGATAACTGCTGCTGTCTGCGCGTTAGTACGACCGAGGTACACGTAGCAGTTCGTTCCTGCCTGATCGTCTTTGAAGCGGCTTAAGTGTATCGATCCGAATACGCAGCACGATGTTGCTCGTGGTTGCATCGAACGCGACGCGATCCCGCTTGCGACCCCTGCACGGTTGCATCTACAAACCAATGAGCAACCTGACCGCTGCAGCATCACCTTCCTCGACAATCACGAAGGGAAGCAATCAGATCTGGTGCAGCAGAGCTAGCTAAGCGCAGGACAATGTCGGTTAAGCTCGCGTTACGCTCGAGGTGCAATTGCAGCGACCGACATCCACAGTCCAGCAGCGCCGGGTCACCACTGCGCTCTCCACACCGGCCATCTCGCCGAGTCTGTCATCGACATCCTTGTGGCCGATGATGAATCGTCTGATGCAAAGCCAAGTTGAAGCGATTCAGCCAATCATCGTCGTTCCTGTGCAACCTATTTTCCCCCATTAAAAAATATGTTTTTTAAATTCAAGCTCTAATTGCATTCTATTTTTGACAGTGTCCAAAATGGCACGCCCAATTCGGGTGCTGTGTCTGCACGGGTGGCGCACGAGTGGCAGCATTTTACAGCGCCAGACCTCCGCTCTACGCCAAGCGTTTGGTCCAAAGGCCGAGTTGGTGTATGTAGACGCTCCATGGGCCGCTTCGGGCCCTGCGCCGGAGCTGGTGCGCTCGTTCTACGGCAAGAACGGCCCGTTCTACCAGTGGTGGGACGCTATCAAGCGCGAGGACGGCGAAACCTACCGCTACGAGGGCTTCGAGCATTCTCTGGACTACTTAACTGGTCAAGTGCAGGCTCTGGGCACGGTGGACGCCGTACTGGGCTTCTCCCAGGGAGCAGCCGTAGCCACCTTATTAACTGCGCACTACCTTACGATGTACGGCTACGTACCCTGGAAGGCCTGCGTCCTAGTAGGGGGATTCTACCCTCGCAGCCCAGAGACGCTGGAACTACTAGAGACAGCCAAAACTTCAGTCGACGGGGCCATCGACGTCCCGTCGGTCCATGTGATGGGCAAGGCAGATCCCCGAGTTCCCTTAATGGAGAAGCTGTTCAGAAGTTACACCAGCACCAGACGCGTCAAGTTCGAGCATGACGAAGGACACAAATTCCCGTCCCCACTTAAGTACAAGCAAATGTACCATGACATTGCCCAAGAAGTGCTCTCCATGACAGGCCAGGCCTGGGCGTGACTTGCTAGACGGTAGAATGTTGTTTAAGTTTGAAACTGCGTAACATTTCTATTTGCTGCACATACACTAAACTTAAACGAATATGGCGGACGAAGCGACGGAGCAGCTTGTGGTGCGGCTCCAGACTCTCTATCGAGCTCGTCGTGCACGCCGTGAAGCGGTCGAGTTGGCCAACAGCTCGTACCTTAAATGCTGGGATGCTGTGAGTGGGTTAGCGTACTACTGCAATTTACGCACAGGTCTGTCGTCTTGGAAGAAGCCACTACTATTGGCTGCTCGAGACCCCGTCGAGGCACCAGAAGACACGCTCGAAGCTCCGGTAGATTCGAATTCTGACCCAAGCGTCCAATTGAGCCCGAAAGTTCGACAACAGCGACGTGAAGAAAGTTTGACTTTTAAGAAGAAATGTGAGGATGAAAAGCAAAGGCTGATGCTTCGACATCGTCGAAAGATTGCTCGTGCCATGCGACGCTTTGAGAAGAATATGCTGGACGAGAAGAGTAGAAATCGACGAGAACGACAAACTAAACTGAAGAACGATAACGAGCAGCTTTTACGAGACCTCTATGCAGGCAAAAAGGTATGTAGTTGGCTCGAAACCCTGGAAACAAACAGCATTGCCTAGTCATCTTTCACTTTGTATCCAGAAAGAAAATGTGCAGACTATCCGTGAAGCAGCGATGCGAGGCAACTTGGATCGAGTTGGAACGTTACTAGATATGGGCTTCAGCGCTGACGCCGAGAGTGTACGTGATGCCCATGCACGGGTTACTTCTTACTCGACTGACGTTCTTTTTGTCGCTTCTAAAGGCTATGGGATTGACTCCACTACTCGCAGCGTGTCAGAGCGGCCATTTAGAAGTTGTCCGCCGTTTATTGTCAAGTGGAGCTAGTGTAAACCATGCACATATAAAGACAGGTCGGACGGCGCTGATGGAAGCTGCCAGCCGTGCGAAACCACCAGTCTTAAAGGAACTTCTACGATACGGTAAGCTAGTATTGCATAAAACTTAATCAGAACGTTAAATTGTACTGTAAAGGTGCTCGAATTCACGTGGAGGACGAACAGGGCGAGACGGTGTTCGACTGCATGAAAGACGCTGCGAATCGACTGATCATTGAGCGGGCATGTCAAGTCTGGTGCAGTGAGAACGCTGCTCTATTCCCAACAGAATTTAGGCAAGTCTCGCTTGTTTACGCACTAATCAGGAAGCGACAGCGAGATATGTACGAAGCCGAAAAAGTAGCAACACGTAGAGAACTGACCCAATTAAAGCAGACACTTCAGCGGAAATGTGTCGAGGCAAAAGTCCGCTATGATCAGGATATACGGGGAAGCAGCTTCGAGCCTACACTCATGCGGAGACTTTCAGCGATGGAAATTGCCGACTCTCGATACGATACTGAGCGTCGTGTAGTGCTGCTAGAAATCCAAGATGCAGTCGACAGACTTCGCGACAGTGAACGGCCCTATTTTATACCTGAAGCAGCCATACTAAACATCCTGTCGTTCTGTGCTCGACACTGGTTTGAAGCTGATTCTCAGCGACCGCGGCCAACGAAGAGAAAGAAGAAAACTCGCACCAATTCTAGACTTGTCATCCTTTCAAATGTCGTTCCAAATGCTCTTCGACCACCACCAGATCAGCTTCCAGGAGATCTCGAAGCAGAATGGTGCTCCTTCCAACACACTATTAAGGTATCACGAAGTCAAACAATAACCGTAATCTCCCTATCTAACGAGCTTTTCACGTGTACTCTTAGGAACATTGTGATCAACTTGAGGCAGCAATTAACAACGAGCACTTTGACGTGGCGAATGGCGTCTCGAGAGATGCAAACGGGAATAGTCTCGCAACGCTCGACGTTTTCGTCGAGCAAGGGGAGAATCTACCCTACCGCGATCCGCGAATTGGTGACTTGGTACGACACCGTATCGTAGCCTGAAGATACAATTTGTTTAACATTGTGTCGTCTAAATTTCCAGATCGACCCTTATGTGCGTGTCTTCCTAAGATCCACTTCAGTTCTTGAAAGCAGTGAAGTATTCAAGTCGGAAATGCGCATCGCTGACCGCAATCCGGCGTGGGAATTCTGTTGTCAGATTCCAGCCGTGCCTTCGATCCGGAAGGAACTCGACATCCAAATTGTAGACGCAAAGCGAGAAGACATCGCAGGTGAAGTGACGATATCGTTGCGCTCTCTCTTAGACCAGAAAGACCACAAAGACTGGTACATGATGCCTCCAACACTGCGCCAGCAAATTCTCGAGAAAAAACCACGTGAACAACCGGCGCGAATCCGTGTGAGTGTAAAACTAACCCACACAAAGGTAACGTGAGCCAGCACTCTGTTTATTATTTCATAAGACTGATTTCTTGGGTTATTGCCACGCAGTCCATCGTGCTCACCCGCGAGCTTCAGCACCTACTAAAAACCCGCGAAGTACTTGTAAAAAAACGTCGAGATATTATCCAGAACGCTCTTCAAACCCGACTACACCAATTGCCATAGTTTTAACTCCAAAAAAACTAAAATGTCTGATCTATTCCTCGAATCTCTTGTGCGTACCGTGTGGCTTGTCGTTCGATTCCCTTCGAGGATTCCTATGCTTGCCACGGTAGTTATTTTTCGTTCCTTCGTGCGCTCTCTTGCTGTATTTGGCACTTGCCCACTCCGGTAGCTCCGGTAGCTTCACTTCTTCTCCCTCTCCAAGGCGTTTGTACAGATCCTCGACGTACATGTGCTTGATGAGTCCTGGCGGTCTAGCCGTCTTGAAAGCTTCCAAAGCGTCTGTGACGGTGTAATCCAGCCTCTTTACCATATAAGTGACGATGAGGTATCCCGTCCGGTTTAGTCCATGCGTGCAATGCACCGCAATACTCCCTTCAGGCTCTTTTGCCATAAACTCATCGACAATATCCATGAATTTGCCCACATCTCGGCCATCCGGGGGTCCGTTAAAGCCCTCGATCTTGAGCTTAACGTATTCCACCCCCGAATCCTTAAACTCGTGCTCTCCGTCGTAATATTTGAAGGTGTTCGTGAGATCAATGATCATCTTGACGTTGACTTTTTGGGCCTCTTGAGCCTCTAAGAAGTCCTTTGGCGTCCAGATTTCGCCCCTTTTGTTGTGGAATTGAGGCAAATACTTGGCATCCAGAGGCACTCGCAGCGGTAGGAACCGAGAGGTGCCCACTATTGCCCCCATCTTGGCCACATCGTCCCAATTGTCGGGGATCCGGTTCTTCTTCGGCATCTCGCGCCGTTTGCTGCGACTTCGGCGGCGATTTCGGTGCGAATTACGCGGCTCTGAGCGGCGATTTGGAGAGCGACTGCGGCGGCGACGACGTGGTGGCGACCGACTACGACTGCGACTGCGGGGCATGTGCAGGCAGCTCCACCCAGTCGATGGGGAGAAAAATAACTTGATTTTTGTATGGAGCTATTTATGGTTTTATCATTTAAAATATGGCAAATGGCTACATGTCGATATGCGGCGATCTTTGGCGTGCGGTGTCGATGTTCCGATCAATTTGGCGCATTCGCTCGGCAACGAGAAGAACTTGGTCGATATCGAGCTCGTCACTGGATGACTGGAGGTTTTGAAGCCGTTTGAGGCCGTTGGTGAATCCGTGGAGGAGCAGGAACGTTCGTTGGGAACGGACGAGTGCACAGTTGACGTAGTGTAAGAAGCTGAAGCGCTTGGGATCGGCGAGGAGTGCATCCCAGATGCGAAGCGTGTCGGTCATGGAGAACTCTCGAGCTAACAGTGTCATGTACCACCGGAAGCTGTACAAGTCCGAAGTCAATCCTACTGAATTCTAGGGTGAAAGTTTAACAGGTATCAGTAAGCGCGCGAGCTTTGCGTTGTTGCTGATAAACGTACCAGGTGCTGCCAAAGAGAAGCGTCATGCTGTCGAAGTAGTTTTGTTAGGCGTGTCATTTGTAAGTCAGCGCCACTGAGAGGGTTTTCCGAAGATCGACTATACAGAACCTTGAGCGATGCCATTATGGATGTGAAAAAGTGATAAGCGTCGGCCTCCACTTCCGATGCCAATACGGTGGCAGGATCATTACTACAGACATATATGACTGGCGCTAGAATCTCGTTCATGCCTTGAACGTATCCGATGTCTGGATGTAGTTTGGCAAAGACAAACAGGATGTACAGCATTTGTTGCTGTGCGATGCCCCCACCTGCGAAAAGTGTAAGCTCAGAGCGAGTTCGAAACACATCCTGGTAACAAATAGAAATGGCCGCACGGATTAACTGTCTGCGATACCTGTGTGCCACGTTATCAAGTCAGGATAAACATTCGTTGCAAAGGCTTACCTTCTCAATCTCTGTCATGAGGCAGATGTCGCTACGATGTTCACATTCTGAGCGAACAGTGCCATTGGCGCGTCGAGAGGCTGTGCCACCTACCAAGTCGCGCTTCCACCGCTCATAGTCGGTCCGGCGGCATTGCAGCTGACCGGGCCATTCGTGTGGGCTGCCTTTCACCACGCCAAGCAGCACACGCCACGCTTGCGGTCGGAGGAAACTTGAAGAGGCATGTAAGCTAGTTTTATTGCTGTCGGTAGTGCCCTCGTCTAGAATTCCTTTGAACACAAGTGTACGGAGCTCCTCGAGGTTAAATTTGCTTGGCAACAGCACTTGTTGCAGACGCTCCAAGCAGTCCATATCGGAGGCGGCGCCGTAGGTCACTGGAGACTATCCTTCATCGATAGCAATCGTGCAGGGGTGCTAGCGACGAAAATGAAGGGACAACCCGGAATAGCTTTCTTGAGTATTGCAGCACAATATTAACACCTTGGTGGACGAGTATTAATATGGACGAGTATTAATAAAGCTTTCGCTGTTCGCTACTGCATTGTTTATCCTCTAGGAACGTCTTTCAGCTGCGATAATGAGTCAAACAAATGCGAAACCTAGTTTTTTGTGTGTTCGTTATGCGGGAAGATCGCGAAGAGATGGCTACGCTTGAATATGATTCGCCGAGCAAGTTGAAGTCGTCAAACCAAGCAACAAACGTGTCGTTCTCGCCACACAAAAGCTTTCGTCCTATACATCACTTGCATGGTAAATCCGTGGAGTCGTCGACGCTGCAAAAAGATCACGGCATGTTCGCCCGGCTCGTAGCGCCCGAGCGAGGCAACGAGTTGTTGCAACTAGCCATGGGATGGATATTCTCGAGCGGGTCTGTGACATGTGCGCGTGCCATCAATACCCTCTTTAAAATGATACAAAATTGCAGTGGCTTCACACTGAAAGCATTGCGATTATCTAACTTTATATTAAATTCTACACACTACAGCAGCGGTAACTACATACTATTATTAAAAAAAATACATACATGTATCATCAGCTCCCTCTAGTCTGCACTCCCATCTTGATGACATCAGTGATCTCTCTTCCTATCAACCTTTGGGCAAATCTTTTGTGGCTTTTTGAGTCAAAAGCCGCCCTTCATCGCCACCCTATACAAATGCAAAGTTCAACATTACGCGACATGAAAACCACCTCCTTGGTCTTTCCTCTTATTGGCTAAAACTCGCTTCCCGCCGTTCTGATTCGCCAGCACTAATTCCGAAGTTCCTTTTCCTTCTCGAGGGGGGAACACAATCAAAAAGCCACCGAGCCGAGAGAACCGCTCGCCATGGCGCAACCAGGCTCCAGCTCTACGTCCGTGCCCCCCACGCCCTCCAATGGCGACGTCTCCAACGTGAACCCAGAGCTTCTCCGCAGTATGATGGACTGTGTGGACACGTCGCTCTTCTCCCCCGCTCAATTGGCCAACTGGACGCAAATGAAGGCGCGACTCACGTCCGCAGTCGAGCACAAGACGCCCGTATCGCTCACAACTGGCGACTTGGCCATGGTCAAGACGGAATTTGCACGCAACGAGGACTTCCGCCAGCCTCTGCACCGCGAGGCCAGTATCCAGGACGTCCTGGCTTGTCTGCTGGACCAGCAGCCGCCGTCAGCGCGCTTGATGAGCTCGCAGAACGCGGGCGGCAGCTTCCTCGTGAGCTCGGAGAACGCCAAGCAAGAAGTAGACAGCAAACCGTCGCTCAAGAAGCTTCTGAGCTCCAACGACTTCTCCATGACGGAGAAGAAGGAGAGTCTTCGCCACTTACTGAGTTTCATTGACAATTCGTTTGCGAGCAACACGCCTGAGCCTTTGACGCAAGTTTACAAGGACTGTGAGGCCGGGACACTGCAGCGACTGTCGAGTCTGCAGCTCATGAGGAGTTTTATGACGCCGACTCCGCAAAATACGGGGAATACGCAGACGAATGGAGGGATGGGCACACGCACGACGAGTTTTGAGATCATCCAGGCCATGCTGAACGCCACGTCCAACCAGGCGATCCAGAAACCCATGACGAGTCAGGACAGTTTCAGATTCCAGCATCTAGCCAGAACTCTGGAGTCTATTGAGACGGACGTCTCTGCCATTGACAACGAAGATTACGGAGGCGACGACGTGGTGCAAGTGGATAATCTGGACAATTTACTGGACTACCATGGATCAAACGGTGCGTCAGCTACCACTACAGCCACAAGCAATGTACAGGCTTCGTCACAACCGCAGTCGGCGGGTTTCGTTGACACCCAGACGCTGCTGAACCCTCCGCCTCGTAACATGTACTCAGAGATGACCCCGCCTGTCTCAACGTATGGTCAGTATATGGACAGCCAAGGCTACAACCCGACAGTGGCGACGCCTGCCAATTTGCCTACAATGGCCATGACTCCGCAACAGAGTATGTCGTACCAGCAGCAACAGCAACAGCAACAGATTTTGCAGCAGCAATTGATGCGTCAAGAGCAGCAACAGAAACAACAGCAACAGTACAACCAGCTTTATCAGAACGCGCTATTACAACAGCAACAGAACGGACTCATGATGTCTGCGCCCGGATACGTCGGCGCCAACCAGCCCATGCCTCAGTTCCCCAGTATGCTCATGCAGCCTGGGGCCGCTTTACTCCCGCAGAAGCAGCAGATGAGAGGCCTCCCACAGCAACAAATGCGGATATCGACACAGAATGGCAAGCCTATCAAGACTGACGCTAATGGAACGCAACTATGCTCAGCACTGGGCTGCAACCACGCGGCGCGTGTTAAAGGAATGTGCAAGCTACACGGTGGAGGAAGACGATGCAAGGTGGATGGATGTATGAAGAGCGCTCAGACTGGTCACTTGTGTATTGCTCACGGTGGTGGCAAGCCTTGCAACGTTGAGGGTTGTCCGAAGACGGCACAGTCGCGAGGTCTGTGCAAGCAACACGGTGGTGGCGTGCGATGCAAGTTCGAGGGATGCACTAAGAGCTGCCAGTCCGGAGGATTCTGTCGTGGTCATGGCGGTGGTAAGCGATGTGAATACCCGAACTGTACCAAGTGGGCACAGAAGAACGGACACTGCGCGAAACACGCACAGGAGATTGCCGCACAACAGCTACAGCAACAACAGGCGCTGCAGGCACAGATGCAACAACAACTTGTGCACCCTTAGCGTGTTTTGAATGAAGTAGCTATCGACTATCAGATGCCGTACAAAGAGTAAAGAGACGCAGTGCTGATACAGCGCAGCAGATTAGGGGCGAGCATGTAGGAAGTAGGTGGATATCAGCGATGCTGCTCAAATAATAAAGCAACAGTCGGCTGAATTGCATTATCAGCATAAATGATGGTACGGTACTCTCTACGGGCGTGGTGGTACGTTAGAAGAGCTGATTAGGCAGCCAGCCTCATCACGACATTCAGCATATACGTAATTAGTGACTCGCTAGCTACTCCAACCAAAACTAAAAACGCGTTCCTCCAAACCTTTTCAAAACAAACATTACGTGCATCTAAAGGAGACTGGTGAATCAGGGGCCATGATGCGTTAAATACTCTCATCTTGACTCCAAAGCCCAGTTGCAATACCATTATTATAGTCGTGAATTTAGTATTTAATTTGAGCCGTTTGGAAGATTCAGTGCGCAAGCCAATTCAATCAGAAAACAAATAGGACTCTATGCTGCGCCATTACTCAAAAATCAAGGATTTTTTGTATAATCTATTACGAGAATAAAGGCGTTGTCTAATCCAGTAGCGGTGTTAGGCTGCTATTTTTCAGTGAGCCTACCCGTCGAATAAGCAGCCCTCACGCTTTCACTTTATCACGATAAGATACCTCATCAGTCTACGTGGGACCTTAGTTGAGCGTTCAAGAATTTTGTTAGTTTGAGTCTGAAAAAACAAAGGGTTAGAGTAGTTTTGATTTAGAATGGTTGAGAACAGAACAATGTACGGGAAGCACCACTCGCAAGCAATAAGATAACTAAACAAATTACTCATGTAGTAGTATTTATTTAAAAACACTTTCTTGTCTAAAATTGCAAAAAAAAGTCACCTCATGATTGGTCAAGTTTTCACATAACTTCTTTTTCATGTATTCGATGGACCTTCATGCAGCAAACGCCTTCGCCGTCCCGCGTCGACTGTTTGCCGGCCGAAAGCGCCGCGCAGATGTCGCCAATGACATTGACAGCGCTACGTTCTTCACTGCTGACGACTTTGCAGCATTTTCTGTGCGTGGCGATGCCCACGAGTCGCGGCTTTATGAACTACTGGAGACCCGTCGGCGGACCATCCTCACACCGGTTAAAGAGTCGAATTCTTCCCGGAAACGCGCTGCTGCAATGAAAATCAAGCCACAGTCAACGCACTTGGTAAAGTTACTAGTAGAGGCTATTGAGAGTCATCGGATTCAAGCTCCAGAGAAAATGTTGGAGCTCGACAACGCACGTCGAAGAGTTTCCGGATTCTCGGTGGCCCAACACGAACAGTACCTCATGCTGCAACACAAGCTGTTTCAGGCTCAACAGGTGCAGAGCAAACGATTTTTGATTGTAGCGAGAGTGATAACGCATACGGAGAAGCTGACAATTTTTTGCTGGGGTTTTGGCTTTTGTGGAGAGTAGCGTGGACTTCCGGAGGTGCTAGCATTATCGCAAGACGAAGCTAAACAGTGGCAACATATGAAAGTGGAGGTCGAGAAGGAGCAAATAGGTTTTTGCAGGATGATGGCAAGAAATTTGGCTGCAGAAGCTGCTTTGAACGAGGCACAAGTGCCGCTGGCTGTGGAGTCGTGGGTAAGTGGAGTGTTGTTATAAGTTTATGATGTTTTGTTTTAATGCTAATTGGGTTAATGCTGAATTTGCAGTATAACGCGATGCTTACGCAATGCTGGAACGATATTTATCGTCTGTATCCGAGGTGGTTTGAGCCGTGCGTGGCTGTCAAATTGCCTACTGATGGTGCTCCTAGTGGCAATAACCCAGCGGCGATAAAAGCCAAAGAGGTTGCTGCTCGAGGAGCATGCTGCGCTATTGACCTAAGAAAACTTGTGGCTGGCCAGACGCTGAGGAATGCTGCGGGTGATAGCGGAGGGTTGGATGTGGTGTCTCCACGCCAGGCCATTTCAGCGGATCCCCTGGCGGAGCAATTGATGGAGAAGTACGACTGCGACCTGGCCATCTCATCGTCTACATTGGTCACTCTCTTTGACAGCGACACGTCGACTTGCTTCGCCCATGTTGTAAGTTAACAGTTATATTGTTGTATGAATCATTCAAGTATTAACTAGTGTGAACTATGCAGCCTGCAGGCTGGGGTATTCCAATGAAAAGCCGAGCGATCATCCACGAAAGTAATGGTACGAAAAAGCGGATCTTTCTGGATCGCCCACTGCCCGGTATCACTCCAAGCACGCGAGAAAAAGTAGCAGAAGCTGGACGCGCTGCCTTACTATCACGCATTGAGGTATGTTTGTTGTAGTTTAGTACAGTCAAGTGAAAACATCTAACGTATTGTGGTACAGGCCGAGTCTGTTATTGAAGGATCAACAGGTGGGAGAACGGCGTATCATGTTTGGCAGCTTGATGATAAGCGGATTCTCGTCCGCAGCACCACACACGCAAGTGTGGTTACACCTACATCGTCTGAGGGTGCAGATGGCTCGAGTAAGACTGCACCGTTGAGTGTATTCGTCAAGCCAGATTATCAGTTGCTAGGAGTCGAGGAGCAGTTAACAACGAGCGAGAGATGCCGCTTCTGGTTGCATTCGTGGCTTCGCGGTGGTTCTGCCGTTCTAGTGGCCCGAGTGAACCCCAAGAACGACACGATTACTTCGTGGAAGACTCATTCCCCAGCCTCGCTCATCTACGGAGATAGCGCCCAGCAATCACTTCCACTCGAATATTTTGAGTAAGTTCTCGAATTATTGTTTTTGGGGTTACCTGTACTAACTATTTCTATGCTATTAGTCCCTCATTGAAGTTTCAGTGGTTATCAACGCTGTTCGCAACACTGGGAGATATCCCTGTAGGGAACTATCTTTTGCAACCACAGGACGGATACGGCCAAAGCACTTTTGGCAAGAAGCGTGGTGGTATTGAGGTCCTGATGGCTAGTACTGAGCTTGCAAACGATTCGCCAATTGATTTGTACAGCTTCATGCCGAAGACTGCCAGTACACAGCAAGCGCCCTCGTTAACGACGCCCGACGTAGTGGCATCTGCTTGCACTGTCCTTCCATCGTGGAATCTACGCGATCGTATCCCGTACACATACCAGACAGGCATGTACTGCCTACCTTTCTTTCTAGAGGGAATTTGTTCGACCGTATCCAAGGGTGAATGCTGCGATCTCGCTCATTTGCGTCTTCCGGAGCAACAAACTGGAAGTTTAAAGAAACCAGTGAGGGCGAAACGATGGGGCTTTGAGAACTACACGAAGGTACTGAAGAAGGCGACACGTGCGAACTTTGAGATACTGACTCGACCGAAATGGGTGACACTGAACTACGCATTCTGCGGAGAAGACAAGCCCCCACCTGATGTTTCTAGCATTACCGACGTACACGCACCGGTGCATTGTTCCAAACCATTAGGACAATGCTCGCTGCCCCATTTTACTCTGCACCAGATCCTTGAGCGACTCGCAGACGACCTCCTACGCAAGGGACGAGGGAAGCGACGGAATCAGAAGAACGAAAACCGAAAGCAACACAAAGCGTCAGAGTCACAATTGAGTCAGTGAGATACTTACTGCAAATATGCTGCTCCTCCCTTCAGGTCGTCTGAGATTCGTAACAAGTCAAACTTGACGACTACTATGTGTTCTAGAATGCCAGGTATGGATTGCCTTTATTTTCTAGATGAAAAGTATTTGAGCATTCCCAAAGGTAAAAGCTGTAATTTTGCTCTTCATCAATACATGGTACTGAAGAACGGCACGGAGATACTGATTAGTTCGAAATGGGTGACATTTAACTACGCGTTCTGCGGAGAATGCAAGGCCCCACCTACTGAGTCTAGCATCACCGTGTTCCAACCCCCCATTGTATTCTCCACTGACAGGCGACCCGTTACGCAAGGAACGATGAAAGTGATGACCACAGGAGAACGAAAGCAGCGCAAGACAGCAGATCCCAGTTAGCCACACTTTACAATGCATGTAGTGGCCACATTGACCCCGTCAGTTCTTTGACAGCTTATTACTTCTATTCAGTACTTGTAAGTACTGTAAACAAACTAGAAATAGTTTGTTATCGTCCTCTGTGTTGGTCCGACGACTCTAGCCACGTTGCGAGCGACGATGAGCCCAAGATGAACCCCCCACACTTCCTCGGGCCAAGGAGCTTCCGACGGGATGATAAAATCATCAGGAATGCCTTCATCGCCACCGAACTGCGTTGCGTAAATGTCGAGCAACGGAACAATACGCTTCTGCCATGCTCGAGCGGACAGTTTCAGATTGATCCCTAACGAATCCAGCAAATCTGCATTACGACCAAAGTGTCCCAAATAGGTTCCTTTGCTCCGCATATCACGGAGGATCGATCCTAATTTCGTCCCCCACGCACTCCTCGGCCAAGGATCTTCATATGGAACAACGAACTTCTGCGGGATTTTGCCATTCTTGAACACCTCAGCGTATCCTCGAATACCTGGAAGAATATGTTGGTTCCAGACGGCCTCGTCGCGATTCCAAGCAAAACCGATCGTGTCTAGTATCTCTTTATCGCGAGTGGCTTGCTCCACGTATGCTGCATCCACGCGCATTCTATTCACCACCTCACCAAGAGTCATTCCCCACGCCATCTTCGGCCACGGCTGACAACACGGTACTTTAAAGTCCTGTCGAATCAAACAGTGCCCGAATTCTTGTTCATACGTTTTGAGTGAAGGAAGGATTTTCTCCGTCCAGTCGCGTTCTGCTAGGGTCGTGAAGCAGAACCCCATCTTCTCGAGCTCATCTTTGGATGCCGCCATTTGAGTAGCATAATTTGTCCCATGTCGCATTGCCCGAACTATAGATCCAAGTAATACACCCCACGTAGCCTTCGGCCATGCATCGTTTCCCTCCGGCACCACAAAATTGTGAGGCACATCTGTGGTACCGTGCAACTTCTGGAATTGACGGAGACTCGGCATGTAAATGTGGTCCCATTTGTACTGCGCCACATCTTGTACAAAGCCTATCCTCTCCAGTTCCTCGATCATCTGCACCGACAAAGCCTTCCCGCCTGTTTGGAATTTACTTCGTGTCCGAATGCGATTTACTGCCTGCCCAAGTCTCAAACCCCAAAAAGATTGGGGCCAGCTCAAATCACCCGACGGTACAGTGAACGGACGTGGCACCACCAGGTTTCCATTCTTCTCCCTGTATATCGCCAGCGCTGTCAGCATCTTCTCCTCCGATGCACTCGTCTTCTGGCGCCTTCCAGCCGTTTGCTCCCTATTCTTGAGGTCGTTCAGATGTGCCACAGAGGAGCTACAATCGCTCGAATCGCCACATCCTCTCGATACTAATGAGGTGTAGCAGCGTGAGATCAATGGAGCGTATGAGTTTCCTTCTCCGTATACCTGGAGCGGCCCCGCGAGGCGCCGCGCGTGACGCACTGGCAGCCGCAGCATTAGGACCACTGACGGAATGGGGGGTTGTGATTGGCGAAATATAAAATTGAAAGTTACTAGTATGTTTTGCCGCCGGGAAACTGATTAATGTACTAAACTTTAATGAAATTTGCAATACTATCCTAAAAAACCGAAATGAATTTAGGGAACATTTTATTACATGCATTTATTTTAAAAAAATAATATTTAAGCTTCAATTATTTAAAATAATTGAAGTTTCGCAATCCAATCAAGTTTTTACAAAGTAATATATGAAAATATACTAAGTATTAAATAAAGACTTGTTGGACCTCATTTGTTACCAGATATGAAAGCCTTCATTGAAAGGGCATCAGAGGGTAACCAAGTCAAATTGAAAGGACAATAGCTCCAGCAACAAGTAAAGAACAGTTTAAAAGTGCTGGCTACACCATCTTCTTGTCCTCTTTTAGGTAGTCATCGCTCGTCTAAAGTCCGGTAAGAAGCGGCCGTCTTTGCTGCACGCGCGGCTTGTCAACCTGTCGCAGCAGTTTGAAGATGCCCGTGCCGAGAGGAATCGGAATACCCATGATAATACACTCACTGACGCCCACAATAGCATCCGTACGTGAGTGGACTGCGGCATCAAAAAGATGATCCGTGGTCTTCTCGAACGATGCCAGCATGAGCACACTCTCCTTCATCTTGGCGATACCGAAGCGTGTGATACCCAGCACCTCACCCTTGAACGTCATGATATCCGACAGCAGCATCAAGTGACGCCTGTCGATACCAATACCGTACGCGCTCATGATGTAGTTGACCTCAGAGCTGATAAGTTCACGCGCGGCCTCAATACCCAGCGTCTTCTCCACCTCGATAATGTGGTTAGACGTAGTGTGAAGTCCGTCCACACCCGGGATACCCATGACTTCAGCGAGACCGTAGCCCTCAACCAGCAAGTGAAGCGACTTGGCTGCGCTCGAGTCCTGCACTTCTTCATAGTTGATCACCGCACGGTTCACCGTCGGGATACCCTGCACAATCACACCCGGTAGTTCGGCCTTGAGCGCCTGTAGAGCAAAGTACGCGCCGCGTGTGTCTCCCTTGGCACCCTTGTAGTTAGGAGGTGCTAGCAGACGTAGTTTATCGGGACAGCGAGCGTTCAATAGCACATGCTGCTCCTTCAGTAGACGCAGCACACCACGAGGACCTACACCCACGGCGTTCAGGATACTGTTACGTACAGAACGCGCCGTGATGTTAAGGTGAAGCTGCTCGATAGCAGTCAAGTCTAACTTGACCGACAGATACGCTTGATCACGAGCAAAGACTTCCTTGATGTGCACGGCGATCTCTCCCAGCGTCGTCTTCTCAATCCGACCCTTAACAATACGCGCCGAACGCTCGTCAGTCTTGCACACCAACGCGGCCGTGATAATGGGCGTACTAATGACCTTGGACGCATTGATAATCTCCTTCAGACGCGGCACACCGAGCGTCACGTTCATACTAGCGACACCGGCAAAGTGGAAGGTCTTCAGCGTCATCTGCGTACCAGGCTCAGAGATCGACTGCGCGCCAACAGCACCCACTGCCTCTCCAGGCTCCATTTCAGCGCGGTTGTATTTGTACAACGAGATTTCCAGCAGCTTCTCCACCTGCTTAGTCGTGATACGACACACATTGTGCGAGAGTAGCCACGCGGCCTCCTCCTTCTCCTTAGTTCCGTCCAGGCCTGCACGCTTGGTCCACTCAGCACGAGACTTGGCGGTCTTGAAGCGTGTTCGTTCCCACTCAGGCAGACCAACCTTGTCCAATCCCTTTTGCTTGTACGTAGTCAGGTCCATGCTCATGTCCTCGTCCGAATCCTCCGTATCATCGTCCGAATCGTCCTCAGGTTTCATCAGGCGACGACGGCCTTGAGGCTTGGTCAGCTTCTCCAGTTTCGTAGAGATTTGAATCTTCTTTTCCTTCTTCTCTCCAGTCTCCGACTTGGACTTCAATACGCTGGCCGCTTCATCATCATCAAATGCCTTCTCCAACTTCGAAGCATACGTCTTGACCTCTTTATCCATCGAGTCAATGCCACAACTCGTACGGTTGGCAGCGATTTCACTCGCAACGGAGCATAGGAACTCTTCGATCTCAATCAAAAACTTGCGTCCAGTCGGCAAAATAGCCTGGAACTGCGGACGCTGCACAACCTGCTTACCCAAGCGACGAAGCTCAAATGGTAGCAATGCCGGAGACTCGTGATCAGGTAAAGTATTACGAATGTGTTCCAGCAGACGGTGGAAGTCCACGGGTCGGTCATCGCCTTCCATGTACGCCGGGTTTAGCCCATCGTCACCGTAAGTAAACTGCACCACTGAGCCTTCGGAGTTGCGCACAGTTTGGTCGTATTGGCACGATAGATCCTCCAGAGCCTTCATCAAACGACGAGCCATGTAACCTGTCTCGGCCGTCTTCACAGCAGTATCGACCAGACCTTCACGTCCACCCATGGTATGGAAGAAGAATTCCGTCGCCGTCAGTCCGCTGTAGAACGAGTTGGCGACGAAACCCTTGGCACTGGCGTGTAGAGCATGCGGCAGGAAGTGAGGCAGCGTACGGTTCACAAAGCCCTCTGGAACACGCTTGCCACCCACGGACTGCTGACCCACACACGCCATCATTTGCGAGATGTTAAGAGCACTACCCTTCGAGCCACACTCAGCCATAATACGCGGGTTGTTGTGGAACGGAAGCGTGCGCATACACTCGGCACCAGCAGTCTCACGCAGCTTACCAAGTAGACCGTTAAGTTCGCTCTCTAGCGACTGGATGGCATTGCAACCAGGCTTCAACGAAAGCTTGCCACGTCGGTATTCCTCAATAGAGTTATTGGCAGCGTCGTAACCAGCCTGCAGAAGCTTCTGTTTCTCCTTAGCAAGCTCCTCCGACGGCGTAACATCGTCAATACCGATCGAGAAACCCTTAAAGTTGCCCAGCCAACGCGCACACAGCTTCGCCAAACGATTCATGCATCGCGCTGCCTCGTGAGATCCATGATCCCGAATCAACACGTAGAAAAGACCCTGCTTGCTGCCATCACCCAACGTTTTCTTGCCCAGGTTACCGCAAATGAGCTCACTGTTACGGAAGCAGACGTATCCATCCTTCCAGCACATGTACTTGTTGTTCGTGTAGTTGCGCTCCTTCAGCTCCAGATTTGCCAGCACCTTCGTTTGAGAATTAGGCTTAACCAACAGACTGATAACCTGTTTACCCGTCCACAGACGCACCGGTACGATAATTGCTGGAGGAGGCAGCTCAATGTGTTCGTTCGCGTCGCTCATGATCGAAATGACCTGACAGAATTGCTCCCGATTGAAAAAAACATTCTTCTGCGTAAGCAGATACGAAGCTGTAAGGAAATCCTGCGTGGCTGCTACTAGCGGCTCACCATTGCGAGGCGTAATCAAGTTCTGCTCCACTCCCATCAGTGTAATAGCCTCCGTACGCGCCTCCTCCGTCTGTGGAAGATGCATATTCATTTCGTCACCGTCGAAATCGGCATTGTAAGGAGAACACACGCACTCGTTGAAGCGGAAGGTACGCCACGGCATCACCTTGACACGATGAGACATAATCGACATCTTGTGGAGCGAAGGCTGACGGTTGAACAGCACAATGTCGCCGTCTTCCATGTGACGCTCCACGATGTCTCCGATCTTGAGTTCATCGGCCAAGCTCGCGCGATCGCCATACATCAAGTTCTTGGTGAATTTCTGTCCTTCAATACGAATAATATTCGCACCAGGGTGGACATTGGGTCCATTCACGACGCACTTGCGCAGTTTCTCGATGTTGTAGCGCGTCACCTTCTCCGGGTACGTCATCGTCTTGGCCACATGTTCAGGTACACCAACTTGGTCAATCCGTAGGTTCGGATCGGGCGAGATAACTGTACGACCAGAGAAATCCACACGCTTTCCGGACAAGTTGCCACGGAATCGACCTTGCTTGCCCTTCAGACGCTGACAGAGGCCACGGATGCCAGTCTTCGCTCCAGGAGGCTTCACTAAGCCTGGAGTGTCGCCATTCATCAACTGTGCCACCTGAATCTGCAAGAAATCCCAGTCCTCCATGACCATCTTCAACGACGCGCCCTTCTGCAGTGCAGCACGGAGCGCGAAGTTCACCTGTACGATTTCTTGAAGCTTGACGGTAATATCGTCCTCGTTACTACCCGTTCCTCCATCCATAGCCACAGATGGACGAATGCACACAGGCGGCACCAATACAGAGTTTAAGATAAGCTTCTCTGGGCGTCCTCCATCGGCGTCCACCCACAGCAACTCACAGTCTTGATCCGGGATCTCCTTGAACAGCTGCTGTACCACGAGAGGGCTCAGATCTTCCTGTGCCTTGGGTAAATGAGCTCCGATCTCCGGATTATTAGCTTGAGCCTCTGCGAACTGAGCCACAAACACGTTCCTCAAGTCGTGAGTGGCCTTGGCGCGGTACTTCTCGTGTACCAGTTTTAACGTGGTGCTCGTGACCTTGCGCACTGTACCGTTGATGGCGTCACAGTGCGGACACTTGACTGTCTTCTTACATAACGTGGCGATCTTCTTACGGAGACCCACGAGCCGCAGCACGTCGGCCTTAGGGTCTCTCATCCTCCTAAGGAAGAGCTCTCTTTCCGTCGGTGGCAGTAGCACACGACTGCAGCTCTTACAGATATTCTGCAGAATCTCCGTGATGGCCTTAAAGTAGCCGATGTGGAACACGGGAAGCTCCAGTTTAATGTAGCCAAAGTGACCCACACAGTCCGCCAGCTTGAGGTGGCACGTCTCGCATGTGTCCTTCTTGTTGGACACACCCAGACGCTTATCCAACACGCCGTTGGCTTGAGGCTCGCGCGTCTGCACCTTGAACAGGTCCTTGGACTGGACGCGAAGCTCCGACATGCGCATCATGTCCACATCCGAGAGAAGTCCGAAGTTCAGGTGACTGATCTTGGCCGGACGGTCATTCTCCAGCACGAGCTGCTTCACCAGCGGGTTGCGCCGCTCGCCGCGGCCGCCCATGCGACCGCTCTGCATGGCCTGGAACGAGTGCGGAATTGGCTGAATGGTCTTTATGGCTCGTGGAGGATTATTGGTTGATGTAAAATGGGTACATGGTGCCGGTCTTGATGCCAAATAAACTGTGATACTTAATAGTTTTCACGCTCGGATATTTTGTCAAATCAAAGAAGAGAATTTGTTTTTACTGTCAAGCTGAGATTAAACAAAAACTACTTCTAAAAAGTGGTTTTTAGAAGTAGTTTTTTTTTTCTGGGATAGAAAGCACTTTAGTGCTGAAAAGTACTTATGTCTTTGTCGCGAGCAACGTGCTCTTACCTCTGGCCACCACTGACTGTTTTGGATTATCCGCGTTGCCAAACAATTTTTCGAACTGCTACGACTTGGCAGAACATATTACTCCCATTTGAGCCGCGTCTTGTACAAAATCCATTCTCTCCTGTTCCTCGATCATCTGCGTTGACAAAGCCTTCCCGCCTGTTTGCGATTTACTCCCTCCCCCATTTCAACCCCCATCAAGATATTGGGGCAAGGTCATATCATCCGACGGTACAGTGAACGGGGAGGGGGAATCTTACTTCTGAGCGCCTCTGGCGGACTTCTGAGTGGCTACATTAGTTGGCGCCGAAATGAGTGGGCTGTTGACTTCTGAGTACGGCTTGGGGGACTTCCGAGCGGATGCAGGAAATATGGAAATATGAGCGTCAATGAAAAGTAATGTATTGATGAAATAGTAGTGCTACCTGTTTCAACAAACTACTTCACGCAGTGAATTGTGCTACCCTGGGGCCATTCCTGTTTCGTTTGCAAAGCGAATGGCTTCAGCAAGCGTTTGACACTCGAAATATTCAATAGAGCCGTCAGATAGCAACACTTTCCACTTGTACGCGCCGCGCCGATTCTTCCACGTACTCACCACACCAGGAATGTTTTGGATTCTCGATTAAGACGGGAAAGTTTAGTAGACGACTTGGATTCGCTAACAGTAGCGCAATCAGATTGTCAACATCAAAAAATGCTGTTGATTTGCCATCTCGAGCCAACGCGCGGGGAACTTTCCGTGGACGACCGGGAGGCTTTCGCGCTGGAAGTGCTTGCAAAATCGTCGATAAGTGTCATCGAGCGACAATATGAGAGCACACCCACCCTGTCACGAAGTAACTTCTGCATGTACACAGATACTTCGATCGAGCAAGTAGTGCCTGACAGCAAAAACAAGCAAAGTGCCAAATTACGTTCAAAGCGCTGTAGTACATACCTCCTGGCGGGTCCACACAGGTTGAGCAATGTCGTGGTCAATGTTGATCGTGTGGTCGCGAATTTGCACATTTTCATGCTGTTTAGGTTACCATCATGCGGGCCATGGGACACGTACTTCGCTGAATTGTAGAGGATCGCCTGGATTAAGCGTGCCGGACCCCTTCCTTGGTACACATAACGAAAATTCTCATGCAGAGTGAGTTGGCTAGCTGCGACAACCCACTCGTTTGCTAAAGCCCCACAATAGTGACCAAAAGAAGATACAGCGTCAGCTCCATTTCCAGCGTGAATCATAACACTGGGAAGGACGTCGTTTAACACACGAGCTGTAGATGCGCGTAGCGATTGAATAACACTTTTCTTGAGGCTGCGGTGATGCGATTCAATGGGATTCTGATTCGGGAGAACACCGGCAACTCCACTTGACACGCGATACCAACGATACCAATTCGTGGACAGATACTTAGCTTCCAACCATGTCGTGTATGCTTCTTCTCCACACGCTCTCCAATGTGCAATCACTATATCACGCATAGCCGAAAATTGAGCAGGGCTTCGGGCTTCGTGCAAATAGTCTAGACACACACGGGCGATTTCAAAATTGACTGCTTCTCGCCGGCCTTGCGTGCAAGATGAGCCCAGCAATTTAGCAGCGTAATTTTTGACCACACTGCCTTAAACGCATTTGCAATTGCATCAGCATGATCAAGAGACCCAAACCGAAGACGCAGCTCAAGACCGAAAAATTCCAGCGATCGTTGGCGCACAATTGAAAACATCTCAGTATATGGTCGCTCATTTTCAGACTTCACGAACATGTAGGCCCAGATGAACGTACTTTTGCCGATCAAAAGCAACAACAGCAGATCCAAAGCAGACCAAGGTCCACCCACCAAAGTGCACCTTGTATCCGTCACACCGAGAACACCATCTTCACCTTGGCCGCAAATTGAAAATGCAACATCCGGAAATATTTTTCGCGAGGTGCACACCAATCAGGATCCGAAGCATCAGAAAAGCAACCCAACACAATTACATCGTTTTGAGTTGACGACGCCACATCAACAAATTCAACTCGATCAGCTTCCAGAGAAAATAAATTCACGGTTTTACCAAAAAAAAACTTGAGTCTCGCATAGACGTCCACCAGCCCACTTCAGTAAATCAGCATAGGTCCGGACACTTTTGCCTGAACAGTACAAGTAAATTAGTACCGCATAATAAAACAAATTATTGATTGTTTGACTCACCTGCTGCGAGCTTGCTCAAATATTGCTTCCTGTTCTTCAACTGTTTCTCGGTTGGCAAAAATCTTAGCTTCTCTGGATTGTTGGCGCACACTTTATCTAAGAGGACAAGGCAAGCTTTAGGAGCATTGCCTCTGAGGAGACTATCGACCTCTCCGAGAATTGCTCGATTTATACCAATCTTAGCCACATTGGACATTTCCTCAGCATGGGCACCAGTAGCTTGGAGTGTGTGTTTGCTGTCTTGCAAGTGCAGACGCAGGAAATACGTGCAGGAAAGGTGCGATGCGCACCGATATGTCGTTATCATGGCTCCAACTCTAGCTGACTTGTGATAAACTTTAAAACGATACGAGGAGTGGCAGTCCACGAAATCGCCGGCTTGTTTAAAAGATGAAAATTCACCAATCACTAGGGCATCGTCGGGCTGGGACTGCGTTCGGTCTCGAAACTCTTCTCCCTCGGGTTCGGAATCAGAAGACGCCACATGACCGTCCTCCGTTGCCATCGTGGCCGCAGTGGTGCTAGTTGGCAAGTGAAGAAATGCACAGGGCCCTGAAATATACCCTCCAAAGTTGCTAAAGGACATGGACTCCTTCACAGCCAACCACAGCATTTATTCCTTCACAGCCAACAACAGCATACATTAGCAACACACGTCGCACTAGGGCAATTGGAAGCACTACACGTTGAAGTCTTCAACACCATTCAATAAAATGTTTCTTACATGTTACACTCATTTGTCCTCTGCCACCCAGAAGTCCTCCGTGTAATAATGAGGAAGGATATTGTGATGGAGTGGGGTTCGCAAAATCACGTTGCGATCCACTCAGACACACAGTGCCCTGGACTGCCGACT